TGGTGGAGGTGTTTGAGGTAATGCTGGAGCGGGTGGGGGTGGGGAGGGGGGGCTGGTGATGGAGGGAAAGGAGGTGGAGGTAGTAGAGCCATTCCAGGGGGTCTCCCCTCCACTACAGCCCAACATGTGGTCATTCCTACAGCTGTTCTTGTTTAGGTTTGGTTGTGACGGGGTGGTGGTGGTGTGTGTGTGTGTGTGTGTGTGTGTGGGTGGGTGGGGGTTATTTGGCTCGACAGCCATTCTCAGGACGATTATCGCCGCTTGTTGCAGCAATTGATAATCTCTCAGGTAAGCAGCTCCTATTAGAAGAAGCTGTCCTCCCCTCTCTCCCCCACTACTCCCCCCCCCCCCCCCCCCCCCCCGCCATCCCTCTATAATGGATGGCCTCAGCACTCGCCTTGCATGCAGGAAAGGTTTAATTAAATCACAGTCCAATCATAATCCATGTTGTTAATTAAACTGGATAATTTATAAGTACAAAAGAGGGTATTTATTAGCTGCTGGTGGCAGCGGCGAAACGTGCATGCTCCTCGTGCACGGACAGAGCGCTCACACAGTCACTGCCTTCCAACCTTTTACTATTGATGCCCCCCATGATTGATAATGAGCCAGAGAGCGCTGTACTATTTGTCTAATGGCGGTGCAATTAAATGGTCCTGTAAATGAGCCGTGCCTCGTTTCATCCTAATCTATGGAAGTTTGATTGAATTTGTCAGCACTAATTGAAAAATACTGCTATTTAATGTCTGCATCACAGTCACAGATCAGGCTGCTTTAATGAGATCCTGTCCCAGTGACCCTGAGGAGGAGGAGAAGGAGGAGGAGGGGCAAGAGGCGCTATCCATGCATGTCCTTGACTCTGCCCAGGACAGAAGGGGGTTTGATGGGGGGTCAGGGGTCAGTGGCGTCTCTCTGCCGCTGGCACCGATGAGCTTTTTATGAATTGATGAGGAGGTCGTTACAGAACTCATCAGAGGGAGTTCGGTGTCAACAGAGGAGCAAACATAGAGATTTAGAGTCCAGGGATGAGAGGAGAGGTAACGTAAGAGACCCATCAGCCCTGCCAGAATCACCGCAACAGGAGAAACCAAAACAACAGGATACACAAATAAAAACAACAGCAGTTTCCATCCATCCATTGTCTGAACCCGCTTGTCCATGTAGGGTCGGGGGGGGGCTGGTGCCTATCTCCAGCGGTCAACGGGCAATCAGGCGGGGTACACCCTGGACAGAGAGCCAGTCCATCACAGGGCAACACAGAGACACACACACACACACACACACACACACACACACACACACACACACACACACACACACACACACACACACACACACACACACACACACACACACACACACACACTCACACCTAAGGGCAATTCAGACAGACCAATCAACCTAACAGTCATGTTTTTGGACTGTGGGAGGAAGCCGGAGTACCATGCACAGGGAGAACATGCAAACTCCATGCAGAAAGATTCCAGGCCGGGAAGCAAACCCAGGACCTTCTTGCTGCAGGGCAACAGCTCTAACCACTGCGTCACTGTGCAGCCACAACAGTTTATTAGGTTTTATTTGTTTCTTGTGCGTTTTCTTTTGGAGTTGAAAAACAGGAAATCAATTCATCAACATTTAAATTAACTTTCTTCTGAGGAAACAATTTATATTGGTTTAAAGGTGCAGGAAGTAAGGATGGCATCTTGTGGTCAAATCTGGGTACTGCAGCCCATGGTTCAAAACAACCGGGTCTTCTCTGAGCTAGTAGCTTTTGATATTTTCAGAGTGGACAATTTGCTTCCAATTCATTGTTAGCATTACTAGATCAACATTAGCCTCCAGACTTCTTTACCTGATATTTAGCTGATTATTAGTTAAAAAAAAAAAAACAAAGATGCTGTGTCTTGTTAGGAGTGTAAGAAATCACTTGTGGGTCACTCCCGTTACTGGCTACATTTTGTTGGTGCTGTTGTCGAATTACGGATGCTGCAAAGCAGTGTTTGCTGGTGCAGACTTTGCAACCCTGCAGGCTAAAATGTGATTGGCTATGGAACCAGGAAGTTTGGAGGTGGGACAGATTGTAAACAAAGACTATGACCCAGCCCTAATACTCGCATTTCCACCAATGTGCCCTTTGATTGCGTGTTCCCATCCAGGGGTGCAAGTCAATTCAATTCAGTTTATTTATAAAGCGCCAAATCACGACAAGAGTCATCTCAAGGCACTTCACAAAGTAAGCATTCCTATACAGGTCGGTTCATTAAGCCAATCAGTAAAGCTTCCTACATAAGGAACCCAGCAGGTTGCATTGAGTCACTGACTAGTGTCAGAGTCCTTATAGCAATCCTCATACTAAGCAAGCATTTAAGCATTTAGCGACTGTGGAGAGGAAAACTCCCTTTTAATGGGAAGAAACCTCCAGAGGATCCTGGCTCAGCATAACACCATTGTAGCTTCTTCTGGGAGAAAAACACATAGAGAGAAAATAAAGTTAACAGCTGAAATAGCAGAAATAATGCAATTAGAGAGAAGTGGTAGAAGAAAGCAGTAGAGTGTGAAAAGTGGTCAGTGTATCCTCCAGTAGTCTAAGCCTATAGCAGCATAACTACAGAGATAACGCTGGATAACTCTGGAGGCATGTTGGAGGCAGGGTAAGGGAGAAATTTAAGGTTTTCACCTGCAAGGCTATAAATGACCTGTAGCAACTGAAGGTCCTGCCCCATGCCCTCATGGTTCTGTCCTTAAAAGGTACCAGTTGGTGGATGAGCTTTTCTTTTCCTGGCACTTTTTGTGGAACAGTCTCACTGAAGCAGACCCTCTCTATGGAGGTTTGTAAAGCCCTCCCTCCATGAGCCACTTTACTGGTTTAGTTGGTGTTTTTACTCGGTATAGTTACTTTAGATCTTAACTATAAGAACTCCTCAGCTTTTTGTCTAAAATTAATTTACAAATAAAGTTATCTATTAATATTACATTTAATCCGACATGTATGGTTTATGTTTGTCCTCCCATGGGGAGGAAAATAAGACCTTATGCAGCTGGGATTCAATCCTCTAACCCTCTTGCTTCTAAGCAACAGCTCCGCCACGCAGCTGCATCAGAAAAAATTAGATCAAAAATAATAAACTTAACATGAAGTATAAGAGTTTTTGCATAAGATTTTAAGATGAAAATCACTATTTTCTGGACTGCTGATTCATGGTCCTCAAGGGCCTCTGTCTAGCGTGTTTCAGTCGTTTCCCTGCTCCAACACACCTGAGTCATTGTTTGAATCACTGATTCAGAAGAAGCCTTTTAATCACCTGCGGAATAAAACCAGGTGTGCTGGAGCAGAGAAACATCCTAAACATGCTAGATAGGGAGCCTAAGCCCAACAACTTCCGGACCACGGGTCCCCGGAAGAACGAAAAAATTAATGCAAGTCAACGTGGCTAAAACACTATTTTCTAATTCTGCTTATGTGCCATGGATTTCACTTATGATGTCCGTGAATTTTTAAGATGCATTCTGATGCCAAGAACACACTTATTTGGGGGGAACGTTATTTGAGGGATTTTGTTAAAATAAGTCCAGGACTACAAATGCACAAATACGCAGTGACGTCATCTAAGCAGACACGGAGAAAATCTGAGGAAAAATGGCTGTAAGTTCAGCGAACTTGAAATTCTTCCTTCAGGAGGAAACAACCACTATAAAACTAACCATTCGGTAAGTAGCAGCTACGCTAGGGGAGAGGAGATTCTGTGGTGACATCATATATGCAACGTGCCGATGTCTTGTTTGTAGTTGTGTTAATTGCGAAGTTTTATAATCTGATAAATCTCAAAGTATGTGACAGGCGTGGTCGAAACACCTATCAATAGTTTTCACCCAAAGCATCAAAAAGTGACGATGGGTGACGAAGCGTTTGTTTCCGACGCGTTGGGTGCCCCAGCGTGTGCCAGAGCATTGCTTTCCGACGCCTGTGGTAAAATGGAGATTTTAGCGAACAGTGACCTGTACCCTCTTGCAATTTAACTTTCCTCTCACCCCCATCCTAACCTTAACCCACTTACACATGCAAAAATGTAATAGATTTCATTTTGTAAATGTAAATCTTCTTCATACTCCAGGGTTACTTGTGGAGTACCACAGGGTTCAGTGCTTGGACCAACTATTTTTACTATATATACGCTTCCAGTTGGTAAAATCATTAGACAGCATGGGATAAACTTCCACTGTTATGCTGACGATGCTCAGTTATATTTATCCATTAACCCTGATAAACCTAATCGGTTAGTTAGATTACAGGCTTGTCTTGAAGACATAAACAACTGGATGACTCTAAACTTTTTGCTTTTACAAGACAAGACCAAAATTCTCATCTTTGGACCTGAAATTCAGAAAAGGAAATTGCTTAATCAATCACCTGACCTGAATAGCATTACATTAATCTCTGAGAACAATGTAAGGAATCTTGGTGTTATCTTTGACCAGGACATGTCATTCAAATCCCACGTTAAACAGGTTTGTAGGATTTCCTTTTTCCACCTTCGGAATATTGCTAAGATTAGAAGCATCCTTTCCAGGAGTGATGCTGAAAAATCATTTCATGCATTTATTACATCAAGACTGGATTACTGTAATTCATTACTCTCAGGAAGTCCACAGAATGTAGTTAAAAGTCTTCAGCTTGTCCAAAATGCTGCAGCTAGAGTTCTGATGAGAATTAAAAAGAGAGATCATATCTCGCCTGTCTTAGCTTCCCTACATTGGCTGCCTGTTAAATTCAGAATATCCTACTTCTCACATACCTGATCCTTCACAGACCTGATCCTCCATAGACCTGATCCTCTGTAGACCTGATCCTCCATAGACCTGATCCTTCACAGATCTGATGCCTTCAGACTAAGGTTTCATGAAGTATCTGTGTTACATCACAACCTCTCCACCAATCACAGCCGGGGGGAGGCGACGTCCCTCCGGGGAAGACAGCGCAAGTAAACGGAGGAGAGCGGGATTTAAATCCAAACTGTTTACCGACACAAAGTGGGCAGCACCCACACACACACACGCACACACACTCACACACACACAGGGAGACGGCTCAGAGCAGGACTGGAGATCCGGTGTCCCAACAACCCTTCAGTTGTGACTGAACGAAGTGGATCAGCGTGGGACGTGTCCTCTCCAAAGTGCGCGTGGAGCATCACGGAGCAACGGGGAGGCTCGCGACCATTCAGGTTCATTTCTTTATTTTTGTAGAATCCGCTGGTCTTTGGTGGACTCTGAGTGGAATGTTAGACCCTGGTCCTGTTTCCAGTCCTCTGAGCTCCGGGTGACTCCCGGGACTCTCCAAACCTCCAGCGGGACTCCGTTCCTTCTTCTGGTCTTCTCAACCCTCGCGCCTCCTCCCGGTCTCTCCAGACCTGCAGCCGGTCTTATGAGCGCAGCCTTCGGTCCGTCCTTCATGGTGATGCAGCGGCCGCTCGGAACCAGCACCGCCTTCAGCATCGACTCCCTGATCGGACCACCACAGCCCAGTCCGGGACACTTCGTCTACACCGGATACCCCATGTTCATGCCGTACCGATCCGTGGTGCTCCAGCCTCCCCCTCCGCACCCCCCGGGGCTGCAGCAGGCACTCCCGGCCGGACACCCCACACACCCGCAGATCCCGAGCCTGCAGAGCGGGTTCTGTTCCGGTCTGACCCAGAGCCTGACCCAGGGCATGGCGCTCACCTCCACCCTTATGGCCTCGCTACCTGGCGGGTTCTCTGGATCCCAGCAGCACCAAGACGCAGTCCGGAAGTTCGGTTCTCAGGCGCTTCATGCGGTCTTCGATAAAAGTCAGGACCGGTTCGAAGCAGAAGACGGAAAAAACTTCCTACCGGGAAAAGAGTCCGCGCTTCCGGCCTTCCACGACACGGACACACCTGTCCAAACGTCCACAGGTAGGCGGGCTAACGATACCGGGTCCAGAACCAACAGGACTTCGACTCCTGTGGTTCGGGACAGAACCGAAGTCCAGTACGGATCTGAATGAGTTTCATGTGGAGGCCAGAAAATAATTAAGATTATTAATTTAATTCAAATTTGTTTTACAAATTAAATCTTCGCACGGTGATGTCACATGTTATTATTATTATTATTATTAATAATAAAATAATAATAGTAAGAATAAAATAATAATAACAACAACAGTAATAGGTTACGTTTAGTGTCTTTTAATTAACGAACACCAGTTCCGTTGGATCACTTTATGTAATAAAATAATTTTGTGGAATTTGTTTAAATTAAACATCCACACACACGCGCTCTCACACGCACGCGCGCGCGCACACACACACACACGCACACAGAGGAAAAGGCAGAGACATTCAGTGTAAATATGAACTCCCCGCTGAGCGGGTTGTGGTCCGTTCTGGTTTAGAACCGGATCAGAACCTGATGTTAACAAAACGTTTTTATTTTGTAACTTAAAATTTTAGATTTATTTACACACAAACAGAAAAAGTTAAAACGAAAAGTTCTCATCTGGCTAACTTGTGTGTATGCGCGTTCGCGTGTTTCTGTGTGTGTGTGTGTGTGTGTGTTCAGGCCGAGCTCCCGGTAAGGACTCCCCCCGGGAGGAGGACGGAGGCCGGAGGGACGAGACCTACCTGGACAGTGACCTGGACTACAGTTCTGACGACAACCTGACGTCCGCGTGCCACAAGGAGGACGGGGACGTCGGCGGCGCGCTGGAGGACGGGCCGCTCGTGCACGGCTCCTCCGGGGGCGGCGGGTCAGCGGCGGGCCGCGGTCAGTTGAGCGGCGGAGGGAAGAACCGGCGGCGGCGGACGGCGTTCACCAGCGAGCAGCTGCTGGAGCTGGAGAAGGAGTTCCACTGTAAGAAGTACCTGTCCCTCACCGAGAGGTCCCAGATCGCGCACGCGCTCAAACTCAGCGAGGTGCAGGTCAAGATCTGGTTCCAGAACCGGCGCGCCAAGTGGAAACGGGTCAAGGCCGGTAACGTCAACAACAAGTCCGGGGAACCGAGCCGGAATCCCAAAATAGTGGTTCCGATTCCGGTGCACGTGAGCCGCTTCGCGATCCGGAGTCAGCACCAGCAGATGGAGCAGGCCCGGCCCTAGGCCCGGTCCAGTTCGGGTCTCAGGGAGACCGCCTCTAGGTTCTAGCTTCATTCCTAAGGTAGTGGACGACATGAAGCCTCTGAAACGGAACCAGAACCTACGGACAGGAACCACTAATCGAACCGGACCGATTTAAACTGATCCGAAGTCCAGAAACGAACCGAACCGTTCTGTTTATTTACAAGTTTTAACTTTTATTGTGCGGGTTTTAAACCACCATCCTGGAGGAGTTGTAAACCCCGAACCGGACCAGAACTCATGTGTTTGTTGTTTGGACTCAATCAGCTGATTATTTATAAACTTCTGAGCTGATTAAAGACGTCATCTGATCTCTGGTTGTGGGTCTGAATCCGGACCGGAACCGAAACGGTTCCGTTTAATTTCTGTCCTTTTAAAGGCCTCAAGCTTTAGAATTATTAAGTTTGTTCAATAATAATCATAATTTACGCTTCAGACGGAGTTTTATTCTGAGTAAATTTAGCTTCAAACAACAATAATAAAATAAAAAACAAACAGAATTTTCACCTTTTCATTAGTTTAAAGGTTTGAAACGGATACTTGGGCTAATTTAGAAAAAAAAAAAGACCGGAACCGTTTCAGATCAACAGATAAACATTTAAAAATTAAAGTTTAGCAATTCTTTTCACATTTAATTCTTCAGATCTTAATAAATGTATTTTTCTTTAAATAAAAAACATTTTCCTAATAAAATCTGAGAATAACACAAGTTCTCGCGGGTTCCAGAATCTTTTATTTTTGTATGCAGTTCTGAAATGAAATGCGCGCTCCCGCAAGAGAAAAGAACATAAGGTGCGCGCGCGTTAGCGTCTCCTCTCCTGAATTTAATGGAGATAAATCAAAGTGATAAAACTTACCCGGACTCTGTGACGTCAGCGCATCTGTCGCTCTTATGATCTTTGGTTAAAACATTTTTTTTCCAGAAAACCATGCGCGTGAGCGGCGGATATTTCCGAAAGAGCCAGCTGTGTTCTTCTGGTCCCGCGCATCTTCAACGGTCCAGAAGCATTCTGGGTTAAACAAACCCGGTTCCAGCCTCTGGTCGGTGACAGAGGAGCCGGAACCGTCCGGAAACTCTGGTTCCGGTTGACACGCGCCGATTATCTGTGCGTAATAACGTGGGGCCCGTGGTGCCACCGGTCTCATCCAAACCCTCCAAATGTACAGTTTACGTATTAAAGCTGAACCAGTCAAACTGCAACCGGACTAATTAGAATTTTATTTCCCTTTTAACTTAAACCCAAAATGACCCTCGGACCGAACATTTTGAGCCGGAAATAAGAAAAAAAAAACGTTTTCAGTGCAGAACGATACAATATCACAACTTCATAACTGTTTAATATTTATTAATAATAAAAAGGATTATAATAATTAGTTCATATAGTCTGAGAGACAGCAGCAACTTCCACATAATGTCAGGTTGAGATGAACCTAGTCCAGGGTGGTGGGGGTATGATGATGATGATGATGATGATAATAATAATAATAATAATAATAATAATAATAATAATAATAATAATAATAATAATAATAGTAATAAAGCTGCTGACGAATCAGACATTTTAAAGTAAATTATTTATAATAAAACATGTTTTCCTCTCCACCCGTGTCACACACACCCCTGAATTTCACAACCTAGCTAATAGATGAACAATATAATAATAATAATAAATAAAAAATCTTGAGTGATTATTTTTGTCAAAAGCCCCAACAGCTGATCATCCAACATCCAACAGATAGTAAGGAAAAAAAGTCACCCCTCCCAACTTAAACCTAACATCTGATTGGTTTAAGGTATCTTTATTTATTAGAAGGAATGTTAATAAATATATAATAAAGTTCAGATTAAAAGAGCACAAAACACAAATTTAGGTCCAGCTTTTTCATGTCGGTTCAGCTCAACCCTCATTAACAAAATTCTATTAAAATACTACCAGATTTTAATAAATCAATTACAAGAAATATGTGTATATAATAAAATATAATAATAACATATTTCCAGATTTAAGATATAAATGACCACACTATCAAATGATCTGAATAATATTAAGGATTTATGAGCATAAATGTTCAGGTAATCAGGACTTATTGCATAAATTATCAGAATTTCATCAGTTTTAAATAAAACCGGGAACAAAATAGCGAGAATGACAAGATAAAACAGGAATTTAACATTCTACAAATAAAACCATTTCTTCACTCAGAGCTTATATTAATTCTTCTTTGTCTTTATTGAAAATGACACATTACAGCAGACAACTCTGCTTCTGTACAGCAAACATATTAACAACAAGTATAATATTAATAACAACTATAGTAATAATTAAAACAACAACACGTTTGGATGATAAATCAGGACAACAGTAAAACTGGATGGATTTCTATAAATAACATGGAGGTAATGGAGGTGAGGTAAGAGTATGAAGCTGGACCGTGTGTGTGTGCGCGCGCACGTGTGTGTGTGTGTGAACAGGTGGTAATCATCAGGCAGCAGCATCTGGTTCATCTGAGCCATTAAAACCCGAACCACTGCTGCTGCAGCAGAGGCGGTTCAAACACAAACCAGGTTTTACTGAAACGCCAGGAGGAAGCTAAAGCTCGCTAGATGTCTAAAGTAAGCTAATGCCTGCTAAACACCAGCAAGAGGCTAATGTTTAATAAACACCAGCAGGAAGCTAGCATTCGCAAAAAACCAGGAGGAAGCTAATGTTCGCTAAACACCAGCAGGAAGCTAATGTTTGCTAAACACCAGGAGGAAGCTAATGCTCGCTAGAGGTCTAAAGTAAGCTAATTCCTGCTAAACACCAGCAAGAGGCTAATGTTTAATAAACACCAGCAGGAAGCTAGCGTTCGCAAAAAAACAGGAGGAAGCGAGTGTTTGCTAAATGCCAGCAGGAAGCTAATGCTCGCTAGATGTTACAAGGAAGGTAACTCTTGCTAGGCTTCAGAAGGAAGCTAGCATGCAATATATATTAGAAGGAAGTTAATGCTTGCTAAACACTGAAGGAAGCAAACACTCACTACACTTCAGAAGGAAGCCGACACTCGCTAAACACCAGGAGGACGCTAATGCTCGCTCAATTCAAGGAGAAAGCGAATGCTTGCTACACTTCAGAAGGAAGCCAACAATTGCTAGAAGTTAGAATGAAGGTAAACGCTAGCTAGGCATTAGAAGAAAGCTGAATAACTCAATAAATTACCAAAACGTCCCATAAGATTTTCCACGTTAAATGATGTGAAGTATTTAATTGTTCTCTCTGAAGGAAAATTTGCACTTTAATGACTGCAAATATCAACTGTCTCCATCAAAACTTTTCACTGCTAGCTAGCTAGCTATGGAAATAACACAGCAGTTTCAAGGGTGAAATTTTAAGCTTTAGTTTGGTTTCAAAAGAAATGAAAACAAATAAGCAACCAGAACCCAGAAAAGTTAAAAAGGTACGTAGGCTAAAATGCTGCTTTTTCCTTTTTCCGTAAGCTGAGTCCAGCTAACCGCCAATCCAAAAGCAGATGTTGGAAACAGGTTCTGCTCCCATAAATTATAATAAAAATGCAAAGAGTTTTTTACTCTAAGATTATTGGTTTTCTAGAAGCTTCAGATTAAAACATGCTAATTTAACACAGTTAGAAACAAAGTTGCTGTGTGGTCTGAATGATCATTATTACGTCTCATTACTGGTAGAATTTTAAATAAATAAACTTTAAATTCCAAAGTTACTACAAAGTTTTTAAACGAGTTTAGAGGGAAAGCTGTAGCCACAAGGAGATAAATCTGATTTCCACTGAATCAGGAAAGACCAGCTCCATTAGCTTCACAGCATTACTCCTAAAAATTAAACATTGGTTCTGGTTAGGAGTTCCGGTTCTGAGGGACTGTGAGAAAAAATTGAGAAAAATAAAAGAAACTTTAAGGTTTAGAACTTCTTCTGCTTCTACTGTAAAGGATCTAATGTCTGGACGGAAAACGAGTCTTAACGTTGGGTTGAAGAATAACAAAAAGCTACAGAATAAATACAAATGAGATGAGATTGCAGAAATACAGGAAGTACTAACCCAAGGTACTGGAAGAGGACGGGGTTTTATTTAAAAAAAAAACATTTTATAGAAGAGAAGAAGCCCTTCTTAGAGATTTACAGTGACTCTGATTGGACTGGAAAATATGAACTGATGTTGGAACACCTGAAGAAGAAAACCAGTTCCCTTATTTCTACACTGAGATGGTTTACCTCAGCACTAAGTCCAACTATGTCAGTCTGGTTCCATTTAACCATAAAGAGCCCCTGGATCCAGATGGGCCATGGTAGACAGTCTCTGGTCCCTAAAGGCTCTGTACATTTTATGACTTTGTACAATGAGGGATCACCACTGGTCCAGCAACACATCCAGGTAAATATATACACCTGTAGAAAAACACCAAGCACACCTAAAAACTGATCTCTGTCCTCTAAAAACATCAACTGAATTCCAAAACAAGGTCACAGAGATTACCGGGGAAAACCAAGGGGCAGGTTAGGAAAGGTGAGACAATGCAGGTGAGAGTCCCAGAGGAAAGGGTATTGAACCGGACGATGATGGCATTAGGACGTTTGTGTGGCGAAATGTTTTTCTGGGTTCCAAAGAAGATTGGAAGGGAACAGGACGTGGATTTAGATAGGTTGAAGAGGTACTGGCCTTCCATTTTAAATCTGAATGTGTCTAATAAATACTGTTTAGTGTAGACAACAATTCCCAGCAGACTTTGCTGAAGACTCTCCCAATTGAAGCATCACCAGCTCTCCGACTTCCTCCAATAGGGTGGCTATCAGAACATGTAGGCGAGGCTATCAGCAATGTGGTGACTCCAAAATAGATCTCCAAACTGACTTGTTTACTGGTGAATTAGTCCTGGTCAAGTAGTGTCCTGGTCACATGAGTGCAGAACTCCCGGTGCTGCTGCAGCTGTTATTGCGGTTGATGTTGCGGCGCGAGAGGTTAGGTGTGGCAGTAAGTGGGTAGCGATCGTCGGGGCATCCGTACTGAGCCAGGACATCCATGCACTCCTGACTATTGGCCAACCGTGCATACGCCATAGCGCTGTTCCCATGGGCATCCCTCGCCATCAAGTCCAAGCCATACTGAGGAGACATGGAGACATGTTTCAGGTCCCACATTCAGGTTTGACACTGGCTGTTCTTCACCTGAACAGGTAAGCTTACCCAGACGAGCAGCTGCACCATGACAACACTGCCCTTGTGACTGGCCAGGTGCAACGCGTTGCAGCCCTCTCCATAAGTCTCATTGACTTGCTGCCGAGAGCCGTGGGCCAGCAGCAGGATGACGGAGCGGAGGTCTTCGTCGGCCATCGCTCTCAGCAGCTGCTGGCCTAAAGAGAAGTCGGAACATGACGGCGGTGCCAGAAAAAGACGCTGCTCATACTTGGCTCGGATCCAGCGCTCTCGTTCCTCCCTGAAAGACAGAACCCAGGGACAAGCATTCTCAGCATACGGTGACATCATCAAATGTCTGTGCACAGTTGCTTCAGAACGAGACGGTTCAAATTCTGGCAGAGGCTTTTCTGTAGAGTTAGCATGGTCTCCCCAAGAATTTAAGGGTTTTCTACCACAGACTAACATTAAGCATGTTAGGTTGACTGCAAATGCTGCCTCACTTTCCAGAAATTTACAATTCACACTTTATCACGCACCTAAGTATGTGTAATAGTACAATTTTCCCAACTTAGGTCTTACGTTCTATTGGGTTGAGATCTGGTGTGCTGAATAACAATGTTGGTTGCTTTTGACGAGTTTTAGTTGAGCCTTCTTTCTCTCTTTACTCTCTGGTCACCACGGCAAATTACATACAGCAGACACTAAAGATAGGCCGATAAATTGAGCCAATATTTACAATATGTAGCACATTTTTTACTATTGGAATCTGTCAATTTATCTCTTTAGTAAAATTGATTAAAAAAAAAGGCACATCTGTGGGCAGCCTGCCACCAGATTTTATTTACATGTTTATTTCCATTCCTGGAAAACATCTGATGAATGTGACTATGAGTACTCCCCTAGCGATAGGGGCAGTACATACCTAAATCATTGCAAGCAAGCTGTATTTTTGTGTTCGGCACAATCCCAATACTTGCACTGCATCCTGTTGCCTTCGGCAAAGTGCACTTGGAGGAAGTGTGCAGTAAGGCTTCGAGTGCGTGGTACACAAGTGTTAAAATAATTGCCAAACTGGGATAGGGAGCATTACGTCATGGACCGCAATGCATGCCAGGATGCTGGTCGCTGTGGTACTTTTTTAAAAGAACCTTTATTAACAACTTTCAAACAAACAAATATTTGAAATATATTTACTTTCATTGCTGCTTTGTCTAAAACATTCAGAGCATCAATTACTCATCTTAAAATGAACTATTTCATTTGAAAAAACACATTTTCAGAAAAGGCACTTGAGCCTTTTCTCCAGCAGCAATGGATTGTGGATAATACACTTCACCCAAGCGCACATTGATGCGGACTAGGGTGAAGTGTGGATCAAGGGTGCAAAAGGAGGTGATCAACTGACGCTCTTGAAAATCTGGACACCCTACGCACCCGCACTCCTGGCTGGGATCACGCAATTGAAAGGTGCAGGTGTGGAAGTGCGAGTACTGGGACGGGGTCTTTGAGTAAGACCTTAGGCTACCAACAGATGGCCATTTGGGTCAAAAATCCCTGGGAGGGCAACCTCCAGCAAAATGACAAACACATCAGACTCCCTTTCGTCACTGGCAACAAGCGAAGAGGTATATGTGTAAAACAACAAAGGTTATAAACGGTAAGTTTTATAACTGATTGTTACAAATCAGTAAAAGCATTTTGTCCTCACAGGCTCCCGTAGAAGGAAACATGACATCTAATATGGCGTCGCTCAGAGACTTGGACCTGCGCCAATATTTTTCAACAACTGGGCAACATTTAATTCATTTGAAACATTTAGATGGTAAAAATTACACATTGTCACTTTAATAAATGCTCCAAAATGTTGTTGTTTCTTTTTATTTGCCAGTTTAATAGAGGCGCTAGTAGAGGTGGCTCGGGCATCTGGTCAGGATGCCTCCTGGACGCCTCCCTGGTGAGGTTTTCTGAGCAGGTCCAACTGGGAGGAGACCCAAGGGAAGACCCAGGACACTATCGTTTTTGGACCAAAATTGCGATTTCAAACAACGCGATCAAGTGATGGTCAAAGCTGAGGTTTTTTTTGTAGCGCTCCTGATTGACCCAGGATCTGTTGTCAACTACTTTAGACATCCAGGGATTACTAGGGTTTATTAGACCAACTAACAGCTGAAGTAAGCCCACATCTATAACATTAGTCTACCCGTCATTACTATATTTAGAAATATTTTCATGTTTTCTGGTGTTTCATAATAATTCCTAATAATTGTACAAGGAACTCTGATAATTTTCTGAACAATTTGTTGGTTTGTTTTTCTGAGCAGAGCGACTTTAAACCTCATGGAAGAAAATGTTTACATTTTGCAGAAAATCACACTGATGGTTCTTTCATCAAATTCTTTCAACTGATTATTGTCACAATAAAATATGTATAACATATAAAGATCAGATGTCACTAAAACCCCACTGTTATATAATAAACAAAACATTAAAGAAAGATCATAATGAGAGGAAAATAATAGCATTTAACCCTCCTACTGTCTTTATGGGTGACATCGCGAGGAAAGTTGACCATTGAGCAGGATTGATGGTTTATCCCTTGAGGTCCACGTGGCAGGGGTGAGGTGGTGCTCACTCCTCACTCCTGCCACGTGGACCTCAAGGGATAAACCATCAACCCTGCTCAATGGTCAACTTTCCTCACGGGGTAACACCAACTAGGACAGTGGGAGGGTTAATGTCTTATTGCATGATTTATGACCATATAGTAAATAATGTGTTGAGAAAATTGTAAACTGAACTGAAATCGCAATTTCTCCTAGAAATATCGCAATTGAATCTCTTCTAAAAGCGTTCAGCCCTACGGTATGGTGTTGTTTTTATCCAAGAAACAAAGAATAATAATGTACAAGAACTTGTTGAAATAGAAACTATGCCATTGTTATTTATTTAGAAAATCTCTATCTCAGGATGAATGTGATGTTTGTCGTTTTATACGGTTAAATCTGATATTTTCAACCTGAATCGATCCTTTGAAATTCATGAGATTAGGCCTAATTTCTGATCGTGTGATCGGATGGTAGCATCCCTCGTTGTTAGTTGATGGTGGTAGAATCGTCCTACGAGGGTAAAATAAGACACAGTGAAAGGAAGGGTGAAGCTTTGTTCAACCATCAAGTATCATTAACTGCTGATCTGTCTAATCCATGACTCTGATAGCTCTAATCTCTGTGCTAATCCCTCCATGTAAACAGCAGTTGATTCAGCCACCAGGGATTAGTCTGAGACGGGGAGGGGGAAGACTGATATTGAGCTGTACCCCTAACTCCGGAGGGAGGGGGAGAAAAATCTGTCCAACGCTTGTAATATTCCTAATAGGTGGTGAGAGGGTTCAGGTCAGAGGGACAGAAAGCAAACATTACTGAGAAAAGTGAGAGAATGACAAAGTTTCCATCAGTATGGGAACCCCTCAGAATCTCATTAACTCTCTTCCTGGTTACCTGCGCGTGTGTGTGTGTGTGTGTGTGTGTGTGTTGATGGGGGTGTGACTGCGCCACCTAGCATTACGGAATGTCCCTGGGGGTTTTCCTTCCTGTCCTGCTCAAGAGGCAGAGTAGGGAGGCCGGGCACGACCATGGCTGACAGCTCCTGGACAAAGCCTAGAGGTGTCACAGTGTCTCTCTGTGTGTGTGTGTGTGTGTGTGTGTGTGTGTGTGTGTGTGTGTGTGTGTGTGTGTGTGTGTGTGTGTGTGTGTGTCTGTGTGTGTGCGCGCGCTCAGCAGGGCTCTGGGAGGAAATGTGAGTCCATTGGACCCAGGAGATGCATGCCTTCCTCCAGTGGAGTTGCTAAGGACCCTCAGAACCTGGAGATAGGAAGTTGTTTGATAGAAACCTACGTGGTGTGAAACGTTCAGTAAACACTGAGACGGTGTGTGTGTGTGTAGAGGGGGGCACCACAATGGTTTCAGTTTTAGCTGGAATTGGAATCAAATCTTGCAAATAAAAGAAGCAACAACAGACTGGTTTAATTCAGTTAGTGTGTGTTAACGGTGTAAAAGAGGATGTGTGTGTGTGTGTGTGTGTCTCGGTAAACAGCGACTCATGTCTCGACTTAACGACTCCTGAAAACACACAGCTCTGGACACTGGAGAGGCTAATTGCACTAATTAACCACACAGAGTGTGTGTTGTTTGTGTGACAGTGTGTGTTAACATGTGTCTGAATGTGCGCACATGCACACATGTCCTGTGTGTTAATTTGTGTGTGTGTGTGTGTGTGTGTGTGTGTGTCCCTTTTCACATCCCATTAGAAGAAGTGCTGCATTGTGGCACCAAGGCATGCTGGGTAGATAATTAAACATGAGACCTGGTGAGATCGCTTGTGACAGAAAACACACACACACACACACGCACACGCGCACACACACACACACACACACACACACACACACACACACACACACACACACACACACACACACACACACAAAGCCCAGAGGGGTAACTTAGTGTTTGTTTGCGTGTATTAAATCAGAGGGTAAAGACTTCATCAGACGTTTGAGTCAGAACCAGTCCTGGTGCCACCTTGGTTAGCATCGTTAGCTCCTACACTGAAACCTAGTGTCATCAGCACCAACATGTCAGAGGCTACTTCTACACACCACCCTAAACCAACCATAGTTCAACTACTAAACCTATCTCAGTCATATCACCTAAACTGTAATTAGTCAACAATTTGCCACCGTCAGGAACGCGAGTTCTGTTATAAGGAACTTCAATTTCAGATTGACTCTGGATCTGCTGTAAAACCTTTGTTCTGGTTCTGCCACATCTTGACAAGTCAATCCAATAACTGGCAGCTGCAATAAAGAGTTGTGGTGTTTAATTTGGTTCTGGTGCCTCAGGGAGCCATACTGGGCCCACTGGGAGAGGTGGGTATGTGAGTCAGTGACCCACAAACAGACATAGAGCTAAAAGCTAACACACACTAGGATAATCCCACTGACTGTCATAACAACCCCAAACCAGCTCTGTACACTCAGTCCAGTTCGGTCAGGGTTTAGGGTCAAGTCTGGTCCAAACAACAAAATTCATCTAAGTGAGAAAATAAGAAAAAAAGAAACATGAAATGGTTTAAAAACTAAACGAGGCAGCACACACACTAGACCCCTTGACCTAATGGCCTAAAATCAGAACCAGAACACTGATTGGATCAGGAACCCAGATAATCCAGACTGGAGCCTAGCTTGGTGCTGCCAGCTTCTCTTTAGGCTAATTAGCCTTTTAATTACATCAACTTTAT